CTAAGCTATGTGATCAGAAAAATTGCAATGCCATGGAGGGTTACAACACTGATTGTGGACCTTCCACATCTGCCTTGCTGAGAACACCCACATCTGCCGAGACCCTCACATCTGCTGAGGGGGAGCACTTACCTGTGTGCCGGCATGAAAGGAGCTGCCCATTAACACATGTGTGTATCCCACAGCATTAGACTGTGTGTGATGGCTGATCCCGGAGATGTCTTTGTGTATGCGTCATTCTAACTGCTCAGTCTGCTATACATTGGATCTGGTCAGAGTTCTTCCGGGCAGTGGTGCTGGTCTGAGTTCTGCCGTGTATTGGTTCTGGTCTGAAGTCTGTCATGCACTTTGCCATTTAGCTTGCTTTCCAAATTGCCTATATTGGTCTAGATTTTGAAATTCCCCTACCAATCTTTTAGTGAATCGACCCACTATTTTAAAAAGTGTGGAGAAATAATTTGTGACACCAGAATGCTTATGCAGGTGGGGCTTGTATATGGGCGGAGCACAATGGAGCCCCATCATTTTGTATTGCCAGGGGGCCCCTTGTGTTGTCAGTCCATCCCTGATAATGTGTATGACTTTTTACATCTATAGTCCCCACCAGTTGACTCGTGTTTTCAAAAAGGTGTATTCAGAATTAAATACATCCTCTATGCCTGCACTTATTCCCCAATCTATAGCATTTCTCCCAACCGAGTAAGTGGGACAGGAGGGACACTTGGAAGCAGAGCTAATAAGCAGCAAGCTTCACATGACTAAATGGGTGGTATTTGAAGAGGAATCAGTGCCCTCTTTATTTTTCCTATCCAACAGTCTGTACTCATCTCTACCATTCATCTTTCCAATCTATATACCATGACTTCCACTTGCAGACCACTCCATATAGCCACTTTTAACAATCCCAGCATCCCCCCCAAAAAGTGCTCTGTAAACATAACTGTACACACTGCCCCGTATTCAGCTATTCTAAACGGTCAACAAATTTCAGTATTTCATTACTCTTCCCTGGCAGCAGACCTGGTCAGATAAGGGCACCCATCGCTTGAACCCTTTAATGATGGCACCAGTAACCAGCATACTCACTACCTAACCCTTACTCTCAATCTCACAACATGCACAGTCCCTTTGCTGAGCGATCTCCCCAAACTGCACTTCAGACACAAAGATATCCTTACCCACAAAGCCAAAGATATGTACTGCATTTCCCTGGGCCTCATTCTTTCATGCTAAAGCCCTAAAGTAATATGATGATATTTTGATACTAAAACCTCCTGTTCCACCCTCCAGTGACTTGCTTATTTGAAAATATGAATCCTCATTTACATTTTAGGGTACAGGTTGAAGGAAATCTGTGTGGAGGAAGTATGGAAGCTGCTTTTGTTGCCTTGTTGATTCTAGTTGACCAAATGGGCCACACTGTTGCCAAGAGAGATTTGTAAGTTGCCACTTTTGCATTATGCTTCTGAATATGACACCAAGTTGTCTTTGAATTCAACACTGGCTTCACTGGTTGCAGGCATGTTCTTTAACCATTCTAAGTTAGACGATTGTATTTTTAAACTGTCGAAACCTACCTGGGGTTAGTAAACCTAGTATATAAAAAAAAAAATATGACATTTAGACAAAATTTCTGTAATGTAGGCCTCTTGGATTGATTTATAGTTGCATTAAAATTTAACTTTAATACAGCAAGGCAAATTACTGTCCCGATTTCCTAAAACTCAGCTACAGATTTAGGCCTGGTTCACACCTGGGCGTTTTACAGCGCGTTCCTACGCGCTGTAAAACGCTCAACATTTGAAAACCAATGATTGCCTATGGGCATGGTTCCCACCTGGGCGTATTTCAGCGTGTAGGAACGCGCTGCAAAAAGCCCTACGCCCAAAGTAGTACAGGAGCTTCTTTGGGGCGTTTTTCCGCGCGCTTCCATTGGTATTCCCGAGTGTGGATCGGGGTTAACAAAGCGGTAACCCAGAGCCACACTCTGGTCTTACCTTGTCCGCGATCCCCGATGTGTCCTCCGGCGGCTGCCGACCCGGAAGGGTTCCGTCCCTTGCGAGCGGCCGCGTTGCAGGGGGGCAGAGCCGGCGGGAAGTTTAAAAGTGAAACAAAAAAAAAATAAAATAGGAGAAAGGGAAAAAAATAAAATCATACCGCCAGTGAAACGCGCGGAAAAACATGCTAGAAAATGCGAAAAAAAAAAACGAGCAGAAAAAACGCTCAGGTGTGAACCCAGCCTTAAGAAGAGCTCCAGGAAAAAAAACAAAAACTTTTCTTAACCCTTGCAGTGGGGCAAACCCCATACGGCAAGGGTTAAATGTTCTTTTTGTTTAGCGTTTAAAAATAAAGTTATGCTTACCCAGACTTTGGACCCAGCTGGCTGTTACAGCACTCCCTACAGCCTGTCCACTTCTACACTCCTGCAATAGTACGTCCCTCAGGGTCCTCACATTCAATACACATGACTTACAGGACTTTAGACCACTGGAGAGGAGGTGGAGAGAGGCTCCAGGGACTGGTCTAGGAGCCAGGCCGCTTTTATATTTTCTTCCCTAGATGTAAATGAGCACTTAACCCTTGCAGTGCGGGGGTGGGCTCATTGCAAGGTTTAAGAAGAGTTCTTCTTACAGACCTGTTGAGTCTGAGGCAATTAAAAGGTTTATTAATAGTCTTTGCGATTAAGAGTTCACTACCTAAATTTCATTAGTAGATCAACTGTCTTTAAGTAGATATGCCTCCCTGGATACTCAAACACCTACATTCCCTTTTATTACTAAAGCCAGACTTATTAAAATACAGGGTTTTTTTTTCGCTCCATAAGATTCACTTTTTTCCCACCAAAAGGCAGGTGTGTGTGCGTCTTATGGAGGGAATCCCTATCGCCCCGACGCCCAGGACATGCAGTTTCGGGCACGGGGTGAGTAGTTTTTTTTGTACATTTAGCCCTGCTCCTGAGAAGCAGAGTTAAATGTACAGTGGGAGCCACTGCTCATTTAATACAAGTGGTCTAATTAGATCACTTGTATCAAACCGAGCGGCGGCAATCGTGTCCGGAGCCCCCCCGCCGAAACCCCCTGCTCCTCTCGGGGACCCGTGACTATGTCATTGGAGCTCACCATAGAGCCGTCCAATCTTCATCTGCTCTGTGTGATCACTTAGACCGTGGCACTGTAAACACAGCGCCACCTGTCTCAGCTGTGACTAACTACAGCTGTCACAGAAGCCTACCCTCCCTGCGTCCTATGGTCCGGTGCGCCTTATAGAGCGCAAAATGCGGAAGTTTAAAAAAAACCTTTGAGGCTCAGTTACCTATTTACTGGTTAGCATATCAACTTCATCCATAGTGAGCCATGATGTTTCCTAATCACAGTTCCACACAATACCTCTTGAAATACACATACATTATATCTAGGTATGTAAATCACAAAGTAGATCTAAAATCAAATGATGAGATTTAGTTTCCTAAAGCACTGTGAGGGGGATTTATCGGAACTGGAGCAGCAGTACATGGCAACCAATCGGCGTCTATTTTTCATTTTCAATACTTAACTGAACAAACTGAAGAGAGAAGCTGATTGGTTGCCATGGGCAACTGCTCAAGATTCCGTCTGCTCCAGTGGCGATAAATTCCCCCATGTGTATTAAACAATTGTCTTTTTATTATGAAATGCTTTTTCACCATTTTAGCATCTTTTTGCATGTTGGTGCTGCTGCTGTCCTCCAGTCTCAGATACAAGCCTTAGTTAGCAATGGCATGATAAATATTAATTTAATTATTCAATGCCTTTTTTTTTAAATATTATAACATTTATAATATTAAAAAAAAGACATTGAATAATGAAATTAATATTTATCATGCCATTGCTAAGGCTTGTATCCCCCTAGTGGTCAAAATAGATGAGCACATGTCCAGACTGCAGACCAGAACACAGTGTGGCACAGCTACAGCCAATTCTGTATAACTGGCTTTATATTATTATTACATTTTCTTATAATATAAAGCCAGGTATGCAGAATTGGATATAGCTGTGCCACACTGTGTTCTGGTCTGCAGTCTGGACATGTGCTCATCTATTTTGACCACTAGGGGGATACAAGCCTTAGTTAGCAATATCTACAGTTATTTTCTTTTTAAAAAAAATAATATATGCCGGTAAACAGCATTTTTGTGCCCAGCCCCATAGGTGTGTCAGTACTAACCTGCTGTGTCGTCTTCTCCGTCTGCTTCAGCCACTCCGTGTCACAGCTTAGTCATCTGCTCCATTCTGACCTCTTCTCCCGCTGATTGGCCGATTGGATGATGACAGGCTTCCTCACCAGTCACTCCTGACTGGTAAGGAAGCCTATCAATCATCCAATCGGATAATCAGCGGGAGAAGAGGTCAAAATGGAGCAGATGACAGAGGAGGTCGCAGCAATCTTGCTTCATTGAAGACGCGATTGAGGTCCTGTGTGCGGCGGATTCGGGTCCCTGAAGATGGCGGACGCGGCACAGGTACTCGTTTTATGTATTGGCGTATTTGCACGAGTACGAGTACTCATGCAAATACTCGGTATCGCGGCCGATACCGATGCTTGCATCGGTGCATCCCTAATATATATGAGAGAGAGAGAGATAGATCTATCTCTCTCTCTAGAGATATATGTATATATCTAGAGATATATGTATATATATCTAGAGATGTATAT